TGTTGCAAGCATTGTGCTAAGTATTTTACATGATTATATCCTGTGATTTTCACAACAGCTCTTTAAGTAATGTGATCCCTCTGTGGATACAGGCTTGAATGTCCAGTAACTTGTCAAAGGTCATGAAGCTTGCTAAACCTAGTTAGTGGGGGAGCTGCGATTCAAACCCAAGTCTGTTCAACTCTAGAGCTTGTGCTCTTAGTCACTATACTACATATTACCTCCTAATCATCAAGATTTTGAATTATCAATTTATTAAATTCTTGGTCAAGCAGCTCAGTGGTGTAGAATAAGGTCCTAATAAATTAGGCCACAGGTTTGATTTATGTGGGTTTCATTTTAACTATAGTGAAGTATTTCTTGCCTCATTCCTGAGAATTAAATAGTCACATGCCCATTGGTCACTGTGGACCAGCGGTTCTCAGCCTGTGGGTCGCGACCCCTTTGGCGGTCAAACGGCCCTTTCACAGGGGTCGCCTAAGACCATCCTGCATATCAGATATTTACATTACGATTCATGAAGTAGCAACAAAAATAATTTTATGGCTGGGTCACAGCATGAGGAACTGTAAAGGGCCAGAAGGTTGAGAACCACTGCTGTGGATGAATCAAAACCAGTCTGTTCCATGCTAGACCATTCAAACGCCACATCGTCAGGGCCTCCGGAATGGCACTTTTCCTGCATTTTAACCAGTAGGTGAAAGTCAAGGAAGGGTTTGCAGAATGAAGTGTCAGAGGTCTCTGACTTCTGTGAGGCTTGTTGCAAGCAAAGGAAAATGTTAAGGTCTGAAATAAGTGACTTCCAAATCAGACATATAAAGTAAGATTTATAGGGTATTGTGAGGTTTGGACTTTTTAAATGGTTTTATTAAGGCAGACTAATTGTATAAAAAATATATGTGGATGTTGAAAGCTCCGGAAATACAGAAAAGTCTAGGTAATATTAAAATTCCCTATTCATAAAGGGCCTGAATCAATAGGTTTCTTGTTAGACTCAGCTACTTAAAACAGAGTTCAATAAAGATTAAATCTTTAGATTTTTCTGGATATGTAAATTATGTACTTTACCTAAATTTCAGTGAGAATATAATCTCCAAGTTCATCAAAATCAGCCTCTTCATACTTGCTCACTTCACTAGACATGGAGAGCCCAGGACTTAAAACAAGGCTGAATGAGCAAGGGCAGTTGGGTTATCCATTAATCCTGAGCCGGGGAAGCAGGCCTACTGCTACCTGATGGGGCGGTGCTGGGAGTTAGCCACAACCCCCAGGCTCAGGTTCCTTGATTCAGTGCAGCTAATGAGGAACTTGGCTAGACTGCTGGGAAAGACAAGGAAACGTCGCGTGCTGTATGCCTTCCACCCCGTCTCCCCAAATGTCTGTCCACATCATGGAGAGCAGAACCCCTCCGATGCCCGAAAGGCCCATCTGGCAAGCGGAGCAGGAGATACGCAGAGGATCTAGGCAGGCAAAGGAATGGCTCTCCATAAGGCAGTGATTAGCAAAGTGAGCCTGGCTGGAGCGCGGGGCGGGGTGGTGGTGGGGTTGGGGCGTCAGGTTTCACCTGGGAAGCGAGGCCCAACCATGCCAGCTCCCACAAAGGGCTCGGGCTCCCTGCTGGAAGCTGCCCCCTAGACCCGAGCACCCCCAACTCCCCGGCCAGAGCTCTGGGCCCGCACCCACCTGGGGCACACATGCCCAGTAGTAGCCCAAGTAGAGGGCAGTGCCAAGGCTCAAAAGCAGAAAGAACAGATGTGTCCCGGGACACAGGGAGAGACACAGCATCGCGGGGCTGGGTTTCTGCTCCCGAGGTCTTGACTGGCTCCGGGCCTTGGCTCCGACTCCAGGTCCGCAGGTGAGCGCCGGCCTCACCGCCGCACCCGATTGGACGCCGCGCCGGCCCCGCCTCCACGGCCCGCCCCGCCTCCACGGCCCGCCCGCCGTGCGCCCGGCGGAGAGCGCGCGCTGGGTGCGGGGCTGCGTCCGGCCCGCGGAGCTGCACCGAGTGACCTGCAGATGTCTTCCCCGCCGCCTCCTGCTTCCTCTGGGTCACATGCGGGGCAGCCCCGGGGCGGGACGGGCGACCTCGCCCACAGCCGCCATCTCCGAGGGCACCGCCGCCCCTTCCCCTGGCCGCCTGGCGAGGTGAGTGCCCAGCCTGGGTCCTCACGCACGGGACTCAGCCGCTCCAGGGGTGACGCCCTGCCCTGTCACACAGAAGAGCCACTCACAGTGACCTTGACACTCAGGAAGCGGTCAGTTCACGTGGTGGCTGACCCTGCGGTGTCACAGTGTAGCCATTCACCCGGGGCCTCCCACGACACAACCATTCACAGCGCAGCGCTCCGCGGTCACTGAGCGGGCGGCTCACACAGCCCCACGCACGGGTTAAAGTCGCTCAGACAGTGTCCGTCTGTGTGATGTAACCCTGTCAAGTGAGTGCAGCAGACACTCACTCCTCACCCACTTGGCCCTGGGAGACCCAGTGCTGCCCCTGGCTTCCCTGGGATGTCGAAACGCCGCCTGCCAGAGCCGTGGCGCTCCCCTTGGCTCACATGCTGACGGGAGAAGCATCTGGGACTTTTAAAGCCGACCAGTGCCCAGGCCGCACCTCCGACCTATGTACATAAAATGTGAACACACTTTAACAGCTGATGACTCAATATTTACCCCTTTTCAAGTTTAACTGATTTGAAATAGTGGCTGAAGCCAGGCTAAACTTCAACAAAAAATATTTATCCTAAAGTGCCACTAGACTTTATTTCACGGGGATACATAAAAGATAAAGTTTACAAAACCAGCAACAGTGGACAAATTGAGGGCACACAAATACCAAACAAAATGATTCTTGAAGTTTGTGATTCCATTGCTTTGAGTTATCAGCAGTGCCTGGACCAGAACGGTCATCAGTTTGAAAATAGGCATTGATAAAAAAAAATCATCCACTTCTGTAGACTCTTTAAATTTTGAAAATGAACTGTGTGTTAATAAACACTGGTTTTGTAATCATTCAAAGTGCATATACATTTTTGGGGGGCACCCTGTAGTTGGTCTGAGTCAGAGCTTAGGTATCAATATAACTTAAAAGCTCTCCGGAAGCTTCAAGCCTGTAGTCCGGTTGAAACCCTGCAATAGAGCAAGGTGCTGACACCATGGGATCAGAGGAAGTATACCCAGATGCTAAATGGCAATACACTTAAGGCGAAACCAAAAGATGAGTAGATTTCCAGGCAGGCAAGGGGAGGTGGGCAGGGAACAGTTGTTCCAGGAGAGGGAACAGCCTAAGCAGAGCCTGGAGGTGAGAGGCTTCTTAGGAACCAAATAAACTTGGTGTGGCTGGAGCCAATGAGATGGCCGAAACCAGGTTGTGAGCAGCTACATAAAGGATGCCAGAGTGTATCCTAAGGGTGGAGCGAAGCCATCAGAGAGTTTGATGAAGATGTGGGCAACCTGTTCAGATTTGTTTTAGAAGAATCACAATTCTGGAGACTAGAATCTCACAATTCTGGAGACTAGAAGTCCAAGTTCAGGGTGCTAGCGGGATTGAGTTCTTCTGGCAGCCTCGAGAAAGAGCCTGTCCCAGGCCTCTGTCCTAGTTTCTGATGTTTTGCTGGCAGTGTTTGGCTTTCATTGGCATGTCGAAGCTTCACCCGATCTCTGCCTGCGTCTTTACATGCTCTTCTCCATGTGTGTCCACAATTTTATAAGGATGCCAGTCATTTTAGATTAGGGACCCACCCCACTCCAGTACGAAGTCATCCTGGGCCCCTGCAGTGACTCTACCTGCAAAGAAGGTTACATTCTGAGGTATTCGGGCTTAGGACCTCAACGTGTAAAATTTCGAGGGATGCAGTTCAACCTATAATACGGAGTGATGGAAGCTACATGAACAGATGGGGAGTGAGGAAAGAGCCCAGAGGAATTCTGAAGCATGAAGAAAACGAAGAAGACATGACTACAGAGAGAGAAATGGTGTTGCCGAAACCAACAGGTACCATGATCCAAGGAGGTGGAGTCGTTCACCAGGAAAGTGGCAGGAGGACCCTGATGAGAGCGGGTTTGTTGTGATGGAAGCTGGTGGAGGAGGAGAAGATGAAGACTCCAGCGAGGTAAGAAGTCATTGATTCAAAGAACTAAGTCCTGGGGCCGGTGGGCGAAGGCGTAGTCTGGAGCCTGGTGGAGGGACTGACCACTGTGACTAAGTTGATGACACTCCATTTTGACACAAAGCTGCAGCCACACTGTGCGCAGGAAAACAGCTGCCACCATCACCCTTAAGAGGAGGCGCTTCCCAGACCCCTCCAGGCCTCACACGGAGCCACTTGTCCGAGATGTGCAGTCACAGTCACAGTCACACAACGACACACACCGGCACTATGAGAGCAGTCACAGCTGTCACTGCGAATCTCAAACTCAGGAAGAGCTCACCCAGACACCCCAACACCCCAACACCCAGACCCAACATGCTCCTGCACCATCACACACCAGCCAGCCAGTCACACACCGGCCCATACTGTCACCCGGACACACAGCCACACAAAGTACCCCCTGCTGTGGCACAGGCTCCTGCAACACACAGCCACGTGCACCAACCCCCCCCCTCTCCCCACCCCCCACCCCCACCCCCAGCGGGAGCGGGCAGGGAGACTGGTGGAGCTGCGGAGGGCGGGCGGGGTGGATCCGGGCGGTGCGGGTGCCCTGCCCTGCCCTCCCTCCGGCTGGCGACCAGGACTCTGCCCGGGCCAGGGCGGCGGCTGCCGCCGGGAGGGCGACGTGGAGCGGCCACGTGGAGCTGCCCAGGGGAGGGCGGCGGCGAGGAGCTGGCGCACCGCCCTGGCCACGCCGAAGCCGCCCCTGCCGGAGCCAAGCGCGCTGCTGCAGGTGGGTCCGAGCCCCGCCCCACACCCCCCGCCCCCCGGGCCGGCGGACTGGGGGCGGCCGGGGACCCTCGCCCCAGCCTCCGGAGCGCCGCGCGGGGTGCGGGCGCGGGGCCCAGGCGGCCTCCTGGCCTCTGCGCCGGATGCTGAAGGCGCAGTCCCTCTGCATCCCCTGCGGCTGGACGCGGCGCAGCGGGCCTTCGCCTCCGGGCGCCTCGGGAGGGTGACCCTGAGAGCAGTGGGAGGACGGGGGGAAGTCGGGCTCCCTCCGTGTGGCTCTGCGGGTTCGCAGTCACCCAGGTGCCTTTCCCTCCGGTGGTCTCACAGCCTGGGAGAGGGGCTGCAGGAGTTCCATCCTCATCAGACAGCCGGAGAGGGACGGGGCCGCGAGGTCACCACCGGCTGGGGCAGGCTGGAGCCAGCTCCGGGGTGGGGACCCCTTTGGGGTAAGCCGCAGCCTCTTCTCTTGGGCGGGGGAGCGGAGTGAGGTGTGCCGGGGAGTGGGGTACAGGTGTGGGGTGGGGGAGTGGGGTAGAGGTATGGGAGTGGGGGTGATGCTGGGAGCACCGGTGGCACCAGAGATAAGTTAAGGGAGAGGATTTGTCCCAAATAACTTCCTGACAGAATTAGCAAGAAATGAATGGATGCCCTGTGGGTGCCAGGCTCCCGTCCTGAAGTGGAGCGGAGGCCGAATGGTGTGGACAGGGGCGCTGGGGGAGACATTCTGCACTGGATGCCAGGCCAAAGGCCCTGCCACATCCTAGAGACTCTGAACTCAAGAAGCATCTGCTCGCTGCCAGCCATTAGCTAACCTACCTCATCATGTGGCAGCCGCCCCTTCCCCTACGAGAGGTGCTGCCCTGGGTTATTAAAATGAAGATCCCAGGGCCAGAGACACCTGCCCAGACCACCCGTGAGCCTGTGAGAGGCAGGATTTGATCAGAGGTCTAACCCCAAGGCCGCTCACCTCATGCACAGGCACAAAGGCTTGAAGAAAGCAGAGGCCAGAGGGTCATTGGGAATGTGTCTGCGTGCACGTGTGTCTGCGTGCATGTGTCTGCGTGCATGTGTGTGCGTGTGTGTGAGTGTGCGCGTGTGTGTGTGCACGCGCACGCGTATGTGTAGGATGTGAATAACTTTACTGAATTACATCGCAACGGTTAACCGGCAGTTGTGGTGGTTTTCATGTGGCCATTAGGGTAAATTATGTTTACACATATGGTTATAGAAAATGATTAGGAACATTTTTATTTGACAGGCAGTGGTTCAATAATTGCTTTATTTCTGTTGCTTACAAATGCTTTGTAAATACTTAGAAATGTGTGTGAATGAATCTCATTGTGCCCACCTCATTACTCATTCCTAGAAGTGCCTTAGCCTGACTTCCTTCCTTTATCTATTTATTTAATCTTCACCTGAGGACAAGTTTAGAGAGGAAAGGAGAGAGAGAGAGAAACATTGATTGGTTGCCTTCTGTACACTCCCTGACTGGGGGTCAAACCCACAACCCAGGCATGTGCCCTACCCAGGAATCAAACTGGCAACCTGTCAGCACACGGTCAGTGCTCAACCAACTGAGCCGCTCGGACCAGGCTGAGCCTGGCTTCCTTTAAATAATGGAGGGAGGTGGGTTACCTGTACCGAAAATGTCACCGTTGGAAGGTGACATGAGAGAATACTATTAGATGACAGGAAAAGTCCACAGCACTTAAGTCTGTGAAGTGCACTACAACCAGAATGTGAAGGCCGTCACGAGGGCCCGGGATATTCCAGGGAGAGGGTGGAACAGCTCGGGCAAAAACTCTGAAAATGAAAGTGAAAAGCCCTGGCTGGTTTGGCTCAGCGGACAGAGTGTCGGCCTGTGGACCAAAGGGTCCTGGGTTCGATTCTGGTTAAGGGCTCGTACCTTGGTTGCAGGCTCCTCCCCGTCTTGGGCCCTTGTTGGGGTGCATGCAGGAGGCAACCAGTCCATGTGTCTCTCTCTGTCTTTCCCTCTCTCTTCCACTCTCTCTAAAAATCAATGGGGAAAAATATCCTCGGGTAAGGGTTAACAAAAAAACAATAACCCCAAATAACAAAAAAATAGTGAAAGTGAAAAGTATGTCAGGAGACTCCACTAACCCTGAAGCAAAATGTTAGTGTGGGGGAGCACTGGAAGATGAGTCTGATGTGATAACTTGATATCTGATTGTAGAAGGTCTTGAATGGCCAGGTGAGGACTCTGGCTGTAATAGAAATAGGGAGCCATTGAAGGTTTTGGAGCAGTGGAGTTCCAGCAAAAGGAAGAGTAATCTGATATAAGTATGGAGGGGTCTTTAAATGGAGAAGATAGAAAAAAGAATAAAACCAAAACAAATGGAGAAGATAGCACAGGCAGGGACAGGAATGAGAGGCTACTCATTAGTTTGTGCGAGAAGTAATTCATTACCCAATTAATATTCACTCTAACCCTATGATGTAAGTACTCTCTACATTATGCAGACAAGATAACTAAAGTTTAGTGAGGATAATTAACTTCCCCAAGTTAATTAGGGACAGTGTGGTGAGCCTGGGATTCAAACCTAAGTCTGGCTGGTTCCAAAGCTCTGTTCTCTGTCAATTGCACATACTGAATAACTGCATAAATGTGAAGGTACATAGAACGAAGAGGAGAGTGATAGCAATTCATGTGGGTAGTGTTCAGGACCAAGTACATACTTTTCAGGGCCCAGTGCTAAAATAAGATTAAGCATTTCAAGACGATGAGAGCAGAGCATTAGACTAAGCACAGGGCCCTTCCTAGAGCAGGCCACACACTCATGAAATCAGTTCTAATTACTGTGATGCCCTGGCTGGTTTTCTCAGTGGTTAGAACAGCTGTGGGCAAACTACGGCCCGCAGGCCGGATCCGGCCCGTTTGAAATGAATAAAACTAAAAAAAAAAAAAGACCGTACCCTTTTATGTAATGATGTTTACTTTGAATTTATATTAGTTCACACAAACACTCCATTCATGCTTTTGTTCCGGCCTTCCGGTCCAGTTTAAGAACCCATTGTGGCCCTCGAGTCAAAAAGTTTGCCCACCCCTGGGTTAGAACATCGGCCCGCAGACCGAAGTGTCTCGGGTTCAATTTCTGGTCAAGGGCACGTACCTCTGTACCTCTGTTGCAGGTTCATCCCTGCCCTGGTCATGTGGGAGGCAACCAATCAATGTGTCTCTCTCACATTGATGTTTCTCTCTCTCTCCCTCCTCCTTCCCTCCTTCTCTCTCTAAAAGTCAATGGAAAAAATATCCTCAGGTGAGGATTAAAACAAAAATGACTGTGATAGCCCTAGCCTAGCTGGTTTGGCTGGATAGAACATCGGCCTGTGGACTGAAGGGTCCCAGGTTCGATTCCAGTCAAGGGCTCGATCCCCAGTAGGGGGCGTGCAGGAGGCAGTTAGTCAAGGATTCTTTCTCATCATTGATGTTTCTGATTCTCTCCCTCCTTTCCTCTCGGAAATCAATAGATATTTTTTAAAAATTACTGTGACAGTTTAACAGATTACTTCAAACCTTAGTGGCTGAGCACAAGAACATTGCCTTTGCTCACAGCGTGCAGTCTGGGCAGGGCGTGGAAACAAGTACATTTCTGCTGCATTCTGTGTTGGCTGAGGCAGCTTGAAGGCCGGGGATTGGGATCACCTGAAGGTTTGCTCTCTCACCTGTGTGGTCCCTGGGCTGGGAGGGTGTGAGCAGCTGGAGTCCCGAATGGCTGGGGCTCCTCAGGCATCTCTGTTTCTTTACTTGGCCTTTTCAGCATGGTGGCCTCAGGGCCGCGGGACCTCTGCCATGATGGCTCAGGGCTCCCAGGTGCATATCTGCATGTCATTAATTCTCACTTCATCGGTGTCTAATCTGTGTAACTCACTCATTGTATTTTTTTAAATCCATCTTGTCTTTATATTTGCATACGTTATAGTTGGTTCATCTTCACATCTACTTGGTCATTTTTATGTTCTTATTCCTTTCTCAGAGTTGAAAGCTTCTCTTTAATTTCTTAAAACGTATTAAATATTCTTTATGTTATGTGTGTGAGAATTGTAATATCTTTAGTTTTTCACAACTCTGGTTTTGCCTGCTGTTGTTTACCTGGCTCTTATTCACAGTGTCTTATTTCCTTGTATGTTTATGGCTTTTGACTGTGAGTTCATGCTCCTTGAACCTTTACCTATGGAGCTTCTTCGAGCCCTGGATTGGAGTTGTGTTCCTTCAGTTGTGGACATTTTCTTCTGTCAGTCAACTGGGGCGCTGTCAACCAGGGACCACTTCAAAATAAATGCTCTGCTTAGGGTTTTGAGCCACAGAGGTAGCATTAGCTTGGCCTCGAACCCACATTAGAACAGGCTCATCACACATTCCCAGGGGGGTGTTTTTGAGAGCTGAGCTGTTGGGGTCTCCTGTTAGTCTCCTCACCTTGCATGGTCCAGGCTTTCTCTCTGGTCTCCCCTGTTGCACGAAGCACTCAAACTGATACTCTAGTTCACCGGGGTTGGGTTTGGCCGAAACTCTTAAGGCAAAGGCTGACTACAGGCTCACTTTTCCTCGAGATGACTGGTTTTACTGCTTCTGTACTGAGAATTTCTTACTTTCTTGCCAACTCATCACCTTTGAAAAGATACTTTCTGTTTTTGCCCAGCTCTGCAGTTACTTCCACTGGGACGTTTACCAGCAGACTCCCAGACATGAGGCCCGGATATTTCTCTAGTCCACTCTTCTACCAGGGGGTGTCCACTGTGGTGGGACCGCTGAGGGTCCCGTTACTCAGAGGATCTCAGCTCCAGCTGCCTCCCTTGTAGGGGCCCAAGACCTTATGTTCTCTCCCGGGTCCAACAACTAAAGCACAAGGACCTATGTTGCCAGCCGGTGTTTGCGAACACCTTTGGGCAGCTGTGGCTTTGGAACCCATCTGGCCACTGGCGATTGTGGACCAGCTGTGTAGACTCACTATATCCTTTGGGGTCAGCGGATGCATAGGAAACTGAACACCGTTTCTGGGACTCTCAGCAGCTTCATCTTCATGTGGACTTCCAGGTCTAGCTGTGCTTCACGGGGCGGCTCTGCTGGCACAGCCATGGCCAGGCTCCCACCTGTATCTCCCTGTTAACCAGGGGCTCCCTGCTCTTCCGCCCCCCTTAGGAAGCATTGCCACCCCTTGCAGTGGCTCTGAACCTTGTCGGGGTCGTGGTGCTCTTGGAGAATCCCCTAAACCAGCGGTTCTCAACCTGTGGGTCGCGACCCCCTTTGGCGGTCGAACGACCCTTTCACAGGGGTCCCTAAGACCATCCTGCATATCAGATATTTACATGACGATTTGTAACAGTAGCAACATGACAGTGACGAAGTAGCAACGAAAATAATTTTATGGTTGGGTCACAACACGAGGAACTGTGTTTAAAGGGCCAGAAGGTTGAGAACCACTGCACTAAACGCTGTGAACCTTTTTCCAGAAAGATTCAGTGCCAGCCAGTGTGCAGGGCACCGCTTCAGAGGGTCCTCATCCCCTGGCTGGACCGGCGATTCGCCACCTAGAGACGGGCACAGGGTCTCGGGTCTCGGCTTTGCTGTGCTTCTGCTTCCTGGGGAACTCTCAGCTATGCACCCACACCCGGGACAGTCACAAGGCGTCACGTGCCTCTCTCGCTGACTGTTTTTCTGTAATCAAGTGGCTTTGTTGCCAATGGGCCTGCACAGTGTAGGTCTAAGGGGAAGTTTTTTTTCCCCTTCATATTGGAATCTGATTTCCTACTTGCACTTCCTAAGTACCAGTTCCTGGGGCCACGGTTGGTTGGTTGTGTTTTCAGTTCCTACCTGAGTTTAGACCTGTTTCAAGGAGTCTTTGCCTCTTTTGATTTGTTCTTCGGTGAGGTTTTAATAAATACAACCCAACAACCTGCCTCTCTAAGTCTTGGTCTTTTTGTCACTCTCCGCATTTCCAGTTTGGCCCTTTTCTTAACCTCTCTGAGCTGGTTTCCTCTGTAAAGCGAGTGAACTGAGCCAGATGTACTTGAACTGCCTCCTCCCAGCCCCTCGCACAGCAGGGCGCGAGGACCGGGTGTGGGAGGGGCTCCGGCCACCGCGCCCCTTCCAGGGCGGGTCTTCCTGCACTTTACACCTGCGTCTGGAGTCAAATTTACTTTGAGCAAAGTTCCAGGGGGGGGGGGGGGCTGGCAGGGGAGGGGGGTGTCCCTGATGTCCCTGTGTCCCTGTGTCCTGTCACCTGGGCTGCAGGGAGAGGTGGAGGCAGGGAGAGGAGACGTTCCCGAGGACCCCACCGATCCCCACTCTGTGCAGACGCCCCTCCCCCGACTCCCTCACTCTGCTCCTAGGGAAGGTGTGCCCTGTTCCAGCTCCAGGAGAGATGTCACCTTGGACGATGATGTTAGCGCTGCTGCTGCTGCTGCCCCTGAGTCAGGCTGCCCCCAGGGACGGAACCGCGAGGTAATGGGATCAGGCGGGCTCTGGGCCGTGGGCTGGCAGCAAGGAGAGTCTTTGGAGAACCCGAGGGTGTGGTGGGCCCTGGGAGGCAGGAGACGGGGACGTGTGCTGCTCACCTCTGTATCCCTGCCCACCCACTCAACCTCTCTGCCTTGAGCCTGGTGGAGTGCCCTACACAGAGTGGGCACGTGATCTGTGTTTGCTGGACTCATTGGAGCCAGGAGCTCAGTTCCAATGAGGCATGAAGCTCGGGGAAGAAGCTGGGGGCCAGGGAAGGGGTGTAATCCTCTCATCCTAGGGGGTCGGCAGGTCATCGCACCTCTCTGAGCACCCTTCTCGTACCGATGCAGAGGGGGTGCAGAGGGGGGTGCTGGTGGGGCAGGGGACAGACAAGGAGCAGCAGGGCCGGCAGCAGTGACCGGAGTTGCTGCCGCGGCTTCTGCCAGCTCTCTGGTGTCACAGGTCGGGATCGGCTGGGGCAGCCAGATAGCCTCGTCCAAACCTGAGAGCAAATCTTGAGCTTTAAAGACTGACACAAACAAACAAAAAAGACTGGCGGAGACCCCAAGCAGATTTACACTCCAAAACCAACATAGGTGGCACAGCTTGGGAAAATAAAGAGGCCAGTTGGTCCTGGTGTAAACAGGGCCTGTATCAAGGTGGGCAGTGCCTCTGAGCTCAGCCAGAGACCTACCCGTTGGCCCAGCATCAAAATAGAATCACTGCCCCGGTCTACACTGCCCTACCCCTGACTGCGCTGTTTTCTTGGGCCTCCAACTTGTCTGGGCGAGGTGTGGCCTCACCTGGCTCTACCTGGCCAGGTGTTTTATGGGGTTTCCACTTTCCATCTAAGGTAGGAATCTGCAAACACAGTCTGAGAGAGTAAGGCTCTGCTCTGAGGAGCTTGAAGGACCTCCCTCCACAAGGTTTTGGGAGTTGGGGAAAGCAACTCCCTCTGGGTCGGGGCGAGAAATCTGCTTGGGGGTGGGAGGCTGGGAGGCTGGGCCCTCAGGGAGGCTCTTTGCAAGGCTGGTGCTCCCCTCCGTCCTCCAGGCCGGTCCCTGAAGTGCAGCAGCAGCCCCTACCCAACCCCTTCCAGCCAGGCCCGGAGCAGCTGCGGTGAGTTGCTGGGCTGGGGGCCCGGCAGTGAGGCGTGGGGTGCAGGCTGGCCTCCAGGGGCTGACTGTCCGCTTTTCCGGCAGACTTCTGCGGAGCTACCTAAAGGGACTAGAGAGGATGGAAGAGGAGCCGGAGCACATGAGCCGGGAGCAGGGTGAGGGGCTGGGCCGAAGGGCCCGTGGACGGGAGGCTCAGGGCAGCCAGAGCGGGGACTGGCCTCGAGCCGTCCGTGGCCTCCTGCTTCCTCCTGTTCTCTGCCGTGTATTCTGACCCAGCTTCTTTCCCTTAGTCCTGCTCTACCTCTTTGCCCTCCATGACTATGACCAGAGTGGACAGCTGGACGGCCTGGAGCTGATGTCCATGTTGACAGCAGCTCTGGCCCCCGGAGCCGCTGACTCTCCCACCACCAACCCAGTAAGCCCTGCTTGGGGCTGGGGGTAGGGGTCGGGGGGAACCCTTTTCCTGTGAAGGAGACCCAGCTCCCTGGGGCTTTGGTCTTTTTCATCTTGACTGTTTTGGCGAATCCCCAGGAATGCTCAAAGCCTGCATGTCAGGGAGCGGGAGGGGCGTTGGGAGGGTCAGGGCTCCGGGAAGCATCGCTAGTCACTGTGGACCCCAGGGCAGCTGTGTGCTTCCACAGGTGGTCCTGGTCGTGGACGAGGTGCTGGAGACGCAGGACCTGAACGGGAACGGGCTCATGACCCTGGCAGAGCTCGTCAACTTTCCCGGCGAGGCCCCAAGGCACTCGGAGCACCAAGAGCCCCCGGAGCCACAAGATCTGGGGAGGCAGCCCCCGTCAGCCGAGAGCCCACCACCACAAGCAGCACAGGAAGCCCTGGGCCCCAGAGGAGAGGAGGGGCAGGTGGAGGCCGGAAAGGAGCCCTTGGAGCCTGGACAGGAGGCTGGGGAAGAGGCCCCAGGCCCCGGAGGGGAGGCCGGGGCCCAGGCCGAGGCCAGGGACGCTGGAAAGGAAGCGGAGGAGCAGCCAGGGGAAACACTGGAGTCTAAGAACCCCTCAAGTGAGTTTGAGGTTCATGCTATTCAACTGGAGAACGACGAGATATAAGCCTTGAGGATGCAGGTGTGTGCGGGGAAGTCTCAGTGCTGGAACATGCACTCCGAAGGGCGGGGGGGGGTGTGGGGACAAGGACCACCTCTGGCCCCTCCTGGTCCCAGTAGGTGCAGCCCTTTCTGTGCGGCCCATGGAGACCCTATGCTGAGGGGCAGCTTTAGGGCCCGGACAACCAATAAAGAACTGAATAAACTCATCCCCCTGGGCCATCTGTCTACTGGTCCAGCCCGGCCAGACCTCAGGGAGAGCGGGTAGGGGGTTTGAGGACTGGACAGGCCTCTTGGAGGGGCAGGGATTCAGCTTTCCCCGTGTTCCCAGTGGGTGCGAGCGCTCAGCCTCTCCCTGTCCCCCGGGGTCCAAACACTCCTGTGCCCCCTCACCTGGTGTTCAGACACCCAGTGCCCGCCTGCAGCTCAGGGCAGATGTGCCCCATCACCCTGTACCCACCCCCCCTTAATATTAACAGTAACTATGACTTATCAAGAGCCTCGCACACACCAGCATTACACTGGGCGTTTCATATTGTGTGATTTTATCCTCACGACAATTCCATGACCACGGAATAAACTCCGCTCGGTAAGGACCTTGAGGAAGATTGAGTTCAGTGATGCGGCCAAGGTGACCCAGCACTCAGGCCCGCCTGGCCTCACACACCCTGCCCTCAGCCCTGGTCTCCCCCGGGCACAGCAACACCCCGAACCTGGGTCACATCTGTGGCTGAGGCACCGCCTTAACCGCAGGGTGGCTCCGTGGGTGGGGCTTTCAGGCTGCAGGGCGGTCACCGGGAAGCTATTCGTGGAGGCAAAGTCCCCACCAAACCACCCAGCGAGTCGGCTCAGCTGAGCCGCTCCTGGGGCCACGGACGGAACCGGAGTCTGGTGACAGCACAGGGCCCAGAGCAGCGTTTCTCGTGATTTGTGGTTATTGGGAAGGTTCCCTGAGCCAGCGGTGGGCAGCGGGGTGTCCTCCGCAGCCAGGAAGGCTCCCTGTGACGACGGATCCCTGAACCCGGCCTCCAGCACGGGCACAGCTGGCAGCAAGCCTGGAATCGCCTGCTGCTCTGGCCCAGCAGCCCCTCCTCCGGGCCTGGGTGGGGAGGCGGACTGGGAGGATGTGGGCAAGCCCCAGCCAGAGGAGCTTGGAGGGCAAGGACAGACAGACTGCCAGAAGGAGCGGGCACGGGGAAGGAGATTTATTTGCTCTGTGGCTCCGCGGTGTTTGACACCAGGACCCAGGTGCAGGTGGAGCCCTTCCACGGCCAGCGTCTGCCCAGGAGCAGGGCCGCCCTGATGCCAGGCTGGACGGAGGGGAGAAGGCAGCAGCCGGTGCCACTGGCCCCCGGGGGGGTGTGAGCTGCTGCCTGCTGCCATAGGGCATCACACGATGCCATCGTAGCCCTGCAGGCCGCACTTCTTGCCGGCCACCTGGCAGCCAAACCGCAGCGCCTCCTGCATGCTCTTTCCTGGAGGGAGGGACAAGCCGCTGGATCAGCCAGGCCGTGGGGCAGGGCCCGGCCCCAGCCTGGTGCCCGCCGCTGAGGGACTCACCTTGAGACAGGCTGAAGATGACAGAGGCGTTGAAGGTGTCGCCGGCCCCCAGAGTATCCACCACGCGGGGCGGCGGGAAGGCATCCGAGTGGAGCAGCTGTCCGTCGGGGCCCAGGGCGTCGGCGCCCTTCTCAGCCCAGGCACAGACCAGCGTAGCCCTGCCGGACCCTCAGCCTCAGTCCCTCTCCCCAGGGCAGACGCCGAGTCCAGGCTCACCCACTTCCCACACCCACCCTCCCTGGCTCGCCCGGCTCACCCTTTCCTCACACGGCTGTACAAGCCCCTCAGGGCCTCCACCGCTGACTGGAACCCCAAGTGTCTGGCCACGTCTTTGCTGACAAACACCTGTGCGCAGTGGGAGAGGCTGACGATCACCGTGACGCTAGTCCGAGCTCGGGCACTCCCCCCAGCAGCCTAGCACTGCCCCCCCATTATGACCCCGCTCCTCCCACGAGGCCACCCCAACCCCCAAAACAGCATGTCGCTGCCCCACAGGAACACATTTCCATGCTCAAGATATGCCAGGATACAGCTGTGACTCGGGACACACGCCCTGGTCTGTTTGTTCTAAGATCCATGAATTTCCGCCCAATTGGAAACCCAAGCGAGCCTGGAGCGCCATCTTGGGGTGGAACCTACCACTGCCAACTGAAACCAACTCTCCAGGTCAGTTTTGTTTGGGGTTTGTTTTTCTCATACAACTATGCCCTCTGGGTCTGCTTTCTTCATCTTAAAAACAAAGGGGTAGGGCCTCGGAAGTTGCCTCACACCAACCACACCAACCACAGAGCTATCAGGGACCTTAGAGACCTCACACCAACCACAATTAGAATTGCCACCCTGGCCAGTGTGGCTCAGTGGCTAGAGCATCGGCCCGTGGACTGGAGGGTTCTGGGTTCAATTCTAGTCACGGGCACATGCCTAAGTTGCAGGCTCGGTCCCCGAGTGCAGGAGGCAGCCGATCAATGATTCTCTCATCATTGATGTTTCTATCTCTCTCTCCCTCTCCCTTCCTCTCTCAAATCAATAAGAATATATTTTTTACAAAATTGCCAGAGACAGTTTTGGTAAAAAATACTTCAGCCCAAGCCCCACCCCGACCCATCAAATAACCCACAGGGGTGGGGCTCAGGCATCCACATCTCTTAACCTGCAGCCAGGGTTGACGACTAACCAGCTCCCACAGTGATGCTAAGATTGTCAACCCGATCCCATTTACACCCGCCCGGCTCAAATCCATGTGCGCAAGGCCCCTGCCCATCCTCCCTCACCCAGGAGTGGCCCCCACAGCCTGTCACCCTCCCCAGAGTTGGAGGACACCTCGGAAAACAGTCCTCTCCCTCCTTTGAAGAGAAAAAGTCCGAGGAGGCCGGGGAGGAGATGCTTCCACACAAGCTCGCCCTGTGGCTGGCTGCCTTCGCCCTGCCCATGCCATTCGGCCCCCTCGTACCTACGCACCCCCCGGGGGTAGAGCTTTCCTGGGCTACTGCCGAGGCCTGCACCAGAGCCCACAGCTGGGGACCGGAGCCGAAAGCTGGGGACCGGCCTCTGCTCTGCCCCCTCCTGCCAACACCAGCGGGCCATGAGGACCTAGCTGCTCCAGGCACGTAGGCAGGACAAGGCAATTCTCCGGCTCCTCTTAAGAACCAGGTTGGCTGGATGCGGCCAGAAGCGGCCTGGGACTCACCACGTCTCCGTAGCCAAACAGCTGGAACAGCTCCTCCCGGGGCTTCTCCACCTCCACGGACACCCGGACCTTCTGCCCCGGAGGCTGCCTGGCATTGTGCTGCTCTATCCGCTGCAGCATCTTCACCTGCTCCGACGCGTTCCGGCCCTGGAGCAGAGCAGGGCCGCTCAGGACCGCCGGGCACTGCCCAGCCACTCCGGCTCGCTCGTCCCTTCCTGCTGAAACTCTGGGTGAGGGGGCAGGGTGGCTGGGGAACCCCATTCTCAATCTAAAGATCTCAGAGCTATCGCGGACCTTAGAGGCCTGACCAACCAGTCCTTCCGTTTCATAGATGAAGAGACTAGAGAATAAAAGAGACTGTCCTAAGGACCGACAGGAAGTTAGTGATGGCAAGGATGAGAACTCGGGGCTTCATGGGGTTTCCTCCCCGCCAGACTCCATCCAAAACCTCTCCTGCAATGAAGACTCTAGTTCCCTGTATGTGGGAGGGAGGTATGGCTCAGGCCTCCTTCAGCCAGGCTCCTGCCAGTGTGGGCCGGCCTGTAGCACAGAGCACGGGCTTTGCCTGGGGCCAGCATCCTGCTTCTGGTGCCTACATCCTACTGTGTGGTCTTAAGTCACCCAATCTTTGTGGGCTTTAGTTTTCTGCCTAAAAACATAAGGTAGGATGGAAAGGGGATGGGGGTCAGATTCATTCATCTCTAAGGCACGTCATGGCTCAAAGAAACCAAGAAGGAGGCAAAACACGAGGAGGGGTGGCAGGCTGAGCCCTTTGAGACACGGGGGGGGGGGGGCAGAGCTTGCCTCAATGTGGATCCACTTGAACCGAGTCAGATCCACCTTCTCAAAGTCCGCAGCAGAGACATCTGGCAGGTTCCTGCGTCACGAGATGGAAAGGACAGAGAAGACGTGGCATCGTGAGAGGCTGGCCAGGGCCAGGAGTCCCGCAGGCTGCTGGCGTCCTCATGCCTGGCCCTGACGGACGCAGGGCAGGAAGCTGGATCTACAGCACAGGCTTGAGGCTCAGCCCCGGGACAGACCCCGTCCCAAGCTAAACTGACAGCACTCCTCGCCCCACTTGGCTCCATCCAGACGACTGGGGGCAGTCTGCTAGGGCGCCCCTTCCTGTGTTGGGGGCTGTGATGTGATGTGAGGGCAAACTCAACCGAAGTATGTGTCAAGGAGCCAGTTGTGTGTGCCTTGGAGACCACATCTCCCAGAATGCCCTAAGAGCACCAAGAACTACAATTCCCAGGACCCGCCCCCCCCCCCCCCCCCCCCTTGCTAGCCACACACATAGCTCCCAGCATGCAGTGCCCTGGGAAACTACAAAGGCCATGGCTCCTCTGCTGGGAGCTCACTTCTGGCACCACTGCAGTGACAGCACCACGGCCTGGAGTTTGGCGGCCCCGTGTCACAACCGTGTGGTTAAGCTTAGTGCTCGAGGATGCGTTTGTATTTGACTAATTGCGGTGTGGACACCCCCCAAGGCTCTGCCTTGACCTCCTTGGCCAGAGGCCTACACACAGCCCATGTCCTCTCTGCATCCTGAGCCGAAGCCTCCATCCACTTCACTAGCTGTGGCACCTGCACCTCCCCGGGAAATGGGCCCCAACCCCCGGCCTCACAGGCCTCTGCAGGTGGCTGCAGGTAACAGAGTGTGGCTATGCCTGGACTGAGGCCAGCAGGCAACAAACACTTCTCTCGGAGCTCTCCGCCTCCCTTCCTGGGAACACCCATGTTGTGTCCTTGATGAGAGTTGCTACAGACGGATGCTTGATGGGCAGATGACTAGGACTGCCCCATGTGAATGTTGCCACTAGCATGTATGCCCCCCACTCATTCACTGGGACGCACAGAGCCCAGGGACCCTGGCCACAAAGCTTGTCCTAGGATGACTGTCTCTCTAGATGCAGTGGTCGCGCTGGGCAGTAGGGAGGGAGGGCTTGAGCCCCAGGGCAGCTGAGTTTAGGCCATCTCAGCCCTAACATAGTTCCTGGCACATATTATGTGCCCAGTAAACGAACCCTCTGAGATCCTCAGTTTTTAGCACATCAATGGCTGCGAATGGTGTGTGCATGTGGGCTGGCTTCATGATGTGGCACCTTGGCAGGGCCTCCTCTTTTCTGAACACCCAAACCCCAGCTCCTTGGTGCCAGGCTGCAGGCCGGCAACTCTGAGGCTGACCCTGGAAATCCCCCCGGGTCCCCCCAGGGCTTAAGATGGTTTGAATCACATTTCCCATCCCTCCACCCCCAGAAAAATTTCCCGGCTCCCAAACGCGGGCTGCTGATTGAGTAATGATGGAGGAATCACATCACAAATTACATCTGGTGCATTTTGCCTGCCCGTCCTTGGTATTGACCAAGGCCAGGCTGCCGAGCAGAGCAAAGCCCACCCCTTCCCACCTCACATCTCCCCTCATTGAAAACCATTCAGAAATCACTGAGCAGTTGGGCATAGGGACAATTTCTGGTACAAAGAGAGGCCACAGAGGGTGGGCCATTGGGATGCCCGTGGCGGCGAGGGAGAGAGCTGATTGGTGGGTGTGGCAGGGCGAGGCCAAGGGGCCTTACGTGTCATAGAGCACAATGGTGCGTGAGCCATTGGAGTTGTTGACGATGCAGCAAGAGCATGGGGTCTCCCCCCGGCTCTGCCAGGCCACCTGAGACACGTCCACACCCCGCTGCCTGAAGTCAGTCACCAGGAAACTTGGGATGGAGCCCGAGCCAAGGGAAGGGCAAGGAGACACAAATTAGAGCCTCTGAGTGCCCGGACCTTCCACGGGGGTGGGAGGTGCTGGAGCACGCGGGTGCTGAGGGCCCTGCAAGAGAAGGCCCTGTTCTGCGAGTTCAGCGATGGCGGCGGCAGCTGGCGAGGCGCAGACGGTGTACAAACCTGCAGGCATGTAGGATCGTGCGGCTGCCACTGGCCTCGTTAACGATGACGGTGGAGATGGGGACGGAGCCTGTGGTCTGAAAGACCGTGTAGTGTAGGTCCACGGAATAGCGACGGAGGTCATTCAGGACAAAACTGCCGGCGGAGGAACCCGGGGGAGGTGCAGTTGACAAGGTTTGGGGGCCCGGAGGTCGCTGGCAGGGCCGCGAGGACCCAGGGTGCAAGCAGAGGGGGCCAGGAGGGAACTAGAGATGGCCGGCTGTGGCTGTGCAGGGAGGCAGGAGAGGCAGGAATGCAGAGGCTGGAGCTCAGTGAGAAACACACTAAGGGACATTCTCTCAGGTCCCGACTCGCGCTGGAAAGGACCTGCTTCATTCATAACGTTCCCGGGAAGACCTGGGGCCTACAGCATTGCCCTGTCTGCAGCAGGCAGGGGAGGGCACCGTGGCCCGCGTCACGCGAGGCCCAGGCAGAATTAATCATTACCAAGGTGACACTTTGCCCCCAGCCGCCCTCTGCACTGGTCCCCAGGGCTCTCCTCTCTCTGAAGTCCCTTCCAGTCCTACAGGGAGTCCTCGCATTCTACACCCGCCTCCATGATGCCCGGCCAGGAAGCTGGGGCTTGGGGAGCTGCTCACTGCCCTCGCCTCTGGCAGCCAAGCCCACCCGCCCGGGCAGTGAGCTGGCTCCCAGTGCCTGCTGGCCCTCCCTATGGGCCTGCTACAGGACTCTTACCCAGAATCCCCTCCCATCAGAGTGAGTCGGGCAGGGGCAGCCCCCCAGGAAGACTGCACCTCCCGGGCCCTCTCTGAGAACGCAGTCCTGTGCCCAGGACCTGGCACGTACGCCAGTCTTCCAGCTGTCATCCTGGCTTTTCTCACTGAGGCTGGGCCCCATTTCTGGCAGCACCAAAGCTGGACAACACAGGTGTGTGTAAAGGTGGCCAGACAATAATGCTGGGGAAAAGGAAGGCAGCGGGAAGAGAGGGAGAGCAAATCTGAGATGGACGCTCTCCGTTAAGAGAAGCCACAGGGGCTGGGCAGGGCTGGAGAGGACAGGACACTGTGGGCACCACTCGTTCAGAGGGTCGCCAGGAGCTGGAGCCGACTCAATGGCATGTAATTCACACAGCAGGTCAGGACACCGGTCCTTGTCTCAGACCCCAAGGACCCTTAAAATAGTAGCTTTTCCACAGCCTAGAAAATATGGTCTGGTTTGCCAAATAACGTTTGGTACCCAGTGCCTGGCACATGGTAGGTGCTCACTGAATGTTTGTGGGGCACCCGGGGAGAATTGGGAATGGCCGCCATCGGCACGATTGCTACACAAAGGTGGGTCCACTGCTCTAAGCAGAGCCGGTCCTGCCTCTAACTAGGGGGAGGCAGCTGCTGAAGAGGGTTAATGAGTGCCCAGCTGTTGGCCCTGGGTCCCTCGGTCCCACCTCACAGGGCAGGCTCTCGCCCCAATTTGCTTCGTGCCAGTTCATCAAGGAAAGGAATCTGGCTGTGGCTCAGGGGGCTGGGCACTGGCAGCAGGTCCTCCTAAACCACGGTTCAAAGGGCTGGGCTTCACAGGCCAGCAGCCCGGAGCCTGCCCCGTGCCCGCAGTGGGCAAAGTGTGGGCCTCGCCTCCTGATAAACGCCTGCTGAGTCGGCAGTGCCAGGGGTCAAAGGACGCTTGGTCCCTGTGGCAGCCAGCACGGAGAGCGCGTGGGCCTCTTACGGACCACACACAGCCTCACGGCGCTGAGCCCGGAGGCCTGGGTCTGGCCCAGCTTTAACAGGCGGCGTCAGGATCTCCTGGGCCGGGGTGCTCCTGCTGCTTCAGGGAACAATGGGGACATGAGCACTGGTCCCGCCCCCTCAACTGGGAAAGAAACTGTAAGCCTGGACCCTTGGACCATGGATGATGGACACCCTGAGGGAAGATGGGAACAGCAGGTCCCTAACAGCTTTCTGCCTCAAGCACAGCCAGGGTGAGGGATTTAAGAAGGGCAAAGTCGCACCACCGCAGTCTGTTGGAAGCAAGGAAGGAGAAGGTGGGGAAGCTGAAGCAGACTCCAGCGACGGGCGCAGGAACCAGGCTGTGGAAACGAAACCTTTACCAGGAGCAGCGTTAACATCTGAGCAGCAGACAAGCCACACTAGGGCGGCTCCGGGATGCCGGTACTCCATCCGTGCCCTCCCACCCGTTCCTGGTGGCCACAGACCACTTCTTATAGCCCACCCGTCCAGGATTAAGACTGCGTCTCCCTTCCCCTCTGTGGGCAGGCCTCCCCTGCTCCCTCCTCAACTCACTCAGCAACATGGCCGGGCGCCAGTGAACCCATGAAGGCACAGGGGGCTCCTAGCAGGGAGAGGACGGTGCAGGAGTTGGATGCATTGCCTCCACGCTGCCATCTCTGGGACAAGCACCTGTAAAACACAAGGAGGGTCCCTGCAACTTCAGCAGGCTCATCCTGGGGCGACCAGGGTTGACCACAGTGCCCTGGGTCAGGCTCGCAGGATGTAATCGCTAGGAGAGCTCCCCCAGAGAGCACCCAGGCCAGGCCCTGCCCGGGTAGCTCAGTTGGTTAGAGCATCATCTCGATGCACCAAGGCTGTGGGTTCGATCCCTGGCCAGGGCAATTAATTTCCATCTTCCACCTATTCTTATGACATGAGGAAACCACTCACGCAGGTCCATTACAATGTGAGGGTTCCACTTCCTCTGGGTTAGCTCCTCCCCAATCATAATGGCCCATCTCTCCCCCGGGGACAGCTGCTGTACCGTCCGCCTCCCCTTAAGAGCTGGATAACTCCGAGTGCCACTTCCCAAAGGTATTCCGTTTACTGCCTGCTCCTGTGAGAGTAGAGCCGCTTCCATACTAACTCAGGTTGAATGAAGACAGGAAGTAACCTGGACATGGTGAGCATATAAGAGGAGGAGAGCTAACTGTTAACAAGTTAAAAAGATTATCGGGTGAAGACCAGTTATTCCTCCATTATTTTTGTTTTGTTTTCCTTTTTCCAGCTTTACTGAAATGTCGCTGACATTTAACATTTTGTAAGTTTAAGCAGCACGATGTGACTTGATATACACACATATTGCGAAATGATTACCACAAATGAGGTTAGTTGACACATTCACCACCTCACGTAGTTACCTTTTTTTTTTCTCCATCTTTACTGAAAGTCTAACAAGAGGAAACTACCTCAAAATACACCTGTATAACTTCACTGGCATCACCAAGAACAAACACGGTAACATGCAGAATAGTCAAAAAGCTTTCATGGTTTCTCATTTGTGCTCCAGTGACACTGGGAGGTACCCAGCTATTTCTATTCTCCCAGACCCAGAAGAAGAAGAACTGTGAACCACGTCCCAAAGCATCACCCGTGAAGGGAAACGAATGCAGCAGAATTTATAGACAAAGGTCTATTTGTACACAGACGTCACCCTGAACTTCCCTTCCGCCTTGGGAAAAGGAGGCCATGATCGCATTAGGAAGAAGGAGGCTGATTTGGAAAGGGTCACAGCTTTCTCAAGCTGTGGCCTTCAGAGAAACGTTCAAGCAGAGAAGAGAGGAGCCGAGGGGAATCCGATTTGCTCAAAATCACACCAAGTTACTCCTGACTCCCAACCACGGCAATGCGCTCCGTATTTTTAAATGAAGAGCAGTTAGGCCCCATCTTGGAGGAGTTTTCAGAGGAAGACGATACAGTTCTACTCTGTGGACACCCTTCAAAGTCACACCGACACCCACCCTCACGTTCAGAAAGGATCTGCTGACCAGGAGGATGCTCGCTCTCTGGAAGGCTCTTCTCGGCCTGGCCTCGGCGAGGCAGGGCCATTGCTCAGGGGCTGGCCGAGTCCCGGGTGGCAGCTCCCGAGAGTCCCCCGCTGCCCATGGAGCACAGAGAGCCTGGGACAGGTGGGGGAGGATGGGATCCCCACCCCGGCTTGCTCATTTGGGAGGCACAACAGAGTGGACGAGCTGGGCTGGGTGGGATGGGAGCACAGGACAGAGGCCCTGAGCTCAACCCAAGTGCTCTGCGGGGCAGCAGAGCCAAGGGTGTGCGGGGGAGGGAGGTACACCCTAAAGCGCAAGGGGCATGGAGAGCAGGGACAGGTCTCCAGAGAGGCCCTCACTTATTCCTGCCTCCGGAACCAGCCCCAGTCCGGGGGGTGGGGGGGGCAGGTCTCCCCCCCAGCCACCTCCGGAGGCAGGCACACCCTGTGCCTCTCTCCCACGGCCCCTGCACCCCTGGCAAGAGGCTCTAACCCCTGGCAAACAGAGCAGCCACAGCAAAGGGTCAGCTCCGGCGGGACAGGGAGCACAAGCAATGACTGCAGGACGAGGGCTGGAGCACTAGACTCGGGGTCAGGAGGTGTGGGTTGCGGCTGCCGCTCTGCCGCCCATTGAGCACACGGCCTCACAACAATCACCTAATTCCTCCACATCTACCAAGAAAGGACTTGGCCGGTCTTTCCACACGTCCCCTGGGCTGCTGTGATCCAACAGGGCTGGATGGACCCAAAGCCCGAGGAACGCCTGGCCTTGCCGCTCACTTAGCCTCAAGGCAATCCGACGGGCGTGTCTCGCCGGCCCAGCCTTGGACTGGCCTTTTATCCAGTTGTGGCCGAGACAACGGATGGCCAAGGAGCAGTTCTTCCCAGGATCCCAAGCACTGGGCTGCCCCAAGAGGAAGCCCTGCCCTCCGCCCACAGAACACTTTCTTGGGATTGCAGTGTAACTCCTTATCAAGAGTAAATATAAGAGCCCTGGCCGGTGTGGCTCAGTGGATAGAGCGTCGGCCTGCGGACTGAAGGGTCCCAGGTTCAATTCCAGCCAAGGGCATGTACCTTGGTTGCGGGCACATCCCTAGTAGGGGGTGTGCAGGAGGCAGCTGATTGATGTTTCTCTCTCATCGATGTTTCTAACTCTCTGTAAAAAATCAATAAAATATATGTTAAAAAAAAGAGTAAATATAAGAACCACCAATGTGTCCTCCTTATCAAGAGTAAATATAAGAACCAACAATGACTCTTGGACTTCCACCAGACCAGCGAGGAGGATGTTTCCCACTGACTTCTGTAAAAGGGACTTCTGGTAAACTCCTTTCGGAATGTAACACCGGGGAAGGGCCTGTCCTGGCACATGAACCAATCCATCCATAACCCACGGCACCTCCAACGGTCCCTCCAGGGCCAGCAAGCCCTGAGCTATAGTGAAGCTCAAATACTTGAAGTGTTCCTGACCAGTCTCACTAACCATACAAATTGTAAGCTCCCTCAATTTCTTTAAAGAAATGGACGATAGAGGAGTGAAGGCGGGGGATAGCGGCGTTGGAGGGGGTCAATAGGGGGGAGGGGACATATGTAATACTTTCAACAATAAAGAGTTATTTTTAAAAAAGAAATAGATGAGCCCTAACCGGTTTGGCTCAGTGGATAGAGCGTCGGCCTGCGGACTGAAAGGTCCCAGGTTCGATTCCCGCCAAGGGCATGTACCTTGGTTGCGGGCACATCCCCAGTAGGAGGTGTGCAGGAGGCAGCTGATCAATGTTTCTTTCTCATCGATGTTTCTAACTATCCCTCTCCCTTCCTCTCTGTGAAAAATCAATTCAAAAAAAGAGAAATAGATGCGATATATATGTGGTAACTAAATTAGAAGTAAATGCTAGTGAGAGGCAAGGGCATAGATATTGTTAAAATAAATAATAATAATAAAAACTGGCCCTGCACCGGACTAGCTGCGTGCCCTTGGATTGGACAAATCACTTCCTCTCAGGGTCTCTACTTGCTTGTGGGTAAAACGGGGATAATCATGCCCGAAAGTCCCAGGGTTGAAATGGGAATCGGTGAACACACTGCTATCTGAAGCCTGGGTCTCGTTACTAAAGGACTCAATTCTTTCCCCAGGTCCCGGACAGAGGGCGTGGGGGTCCCGCTTCTGAGGCTGGACTCTCACAGCCCCAGCCCTGTAGTCTGGGCCTCGGGGCACCAACGCGGGGCTGCGGCGGCCCCTGGGATCTCAGGGGCCCGAGCGCCCCTACCTGCTGTCCGTGTCCTCCTCCGGATACTTGTCCACCACATTGATGATGTCCAGCACCACCAGCCCCACGCACAGGATCTGCTTCTCTCCCATGAGGCCGCTCCCGCAGCTTTCCGCCCGCCGGGGTGCAGCGGCTCGTCCGGGGCGCGGGGTTTTATGCCGTAGGATCGTGTCCCCGCTCCCCGAGGCTGCCTGGCTCCTCCTCCGCGTCCCGAGCTCCGCCTCCAGGGAGCCTTGCTCCCCCCGCCCACCGACCCAAGCGGTCCAGGGAGCGCCGACTCCGCGGTCTCGGTCCCCGGCCTCGCCTTAGCAGGCGGCGTGGCCCTGCAGATGGCAACACCTCTCCCTGCTCGGCCTGAGGTCCTTCATTTGTCAGACGGACTCGGAGCTAATGCAGACCTCTCTGAAGTGCGGCTAGGCACGCTCCTGAAGGTGCCCATGCCGCGCCCTCTCCTGCACCCGCCGCTGCCGCTCCGCACGCTGGATCCGCGGTTGGCGCCGGCCTCGCGGCTGCGGCCGGTCCCGCTAAGCCGAGGCACTGCTGCACCCGGGCCCCGCCTCCGGCCTGGGCCGCCAGGTGCGCGGCGCTGGTCACGTGACGAGGAGGGGCGCTCAGCGCCCCCTGGCGGACACCGGCGAGACGGGCGGGCCCTGGAGGAGGGCCCCGCTGGGGCTCAGCCGCAGACGCAGGTCGCCGCCCACGCGTCCACCGCCAGTGCGGGCGGAGCTACCCCGCGCCGAGCCCTGTGCACGCCCACCTACCCCCGGACATACTGAAGCAGACGGTGTGTTTCGTTTTGTTCTGTTTTTTATAAAAACCAAATGTCTTTATTCCTGAATAGTTTAGTATGGCGGTGGTGGCGGAGCGCCTCAGGAGCGCCCTGGAACCCGGGGGACCGGCCTAGGAGCCGCTGGGGGAGCTTCTAGGGTCCGGGACCCGCTCCTCCGCAGCCCGGGGCCTGCGGGGGACAGCGATCAGGCTCACAGTCTGGACAAGGGACTCCGGAGACCCCCACCTGGCACGCTCCGTTTGCGGGGGTGGGGTGGGCTGGGGGGGGGGGGGAGGCTGCTCTGGGCGCCTTTGCCGGTCGGGTCTGGAGACGGCGATGCACCTGGGGCTGGGGTGCCCGCCCCCCCAGATGGCTCTTTGGCGGCACAGACACTTCAGGCCGGTCGGCCCGGCCCCCTGCCTACGCCTGTTCCAGCTCCAGGTCCAGGTCCCCGTAGAGCAGGGCTCCGCTGAACATGGTGAGCGGCTCCTCCGAGTGCGCCAGCTGCCCCATGACCAGGTCGATGCAGACCGTGTCCCCCGCCTGCAGCGGCAGGATGAGGCTGAAGACGCCCAGGGCGCCCGGGCTGGGCTGGCTCTCGGCCACCGGCTTATTCTCCAGGCCCTCGGGCTCGTAGCCCCCGGAGTCTATGCGCGCCACGCCCAGGTTGGAGCGGGACAGGACCGCCTCCACTTTTTCGTGCCGGTGTCCGGTCAGCACGGCGCTCAGCAAGTAGCGTCCAGCCAGCGGCGCTGTGAACACGCCTGGGGACGAGGATGGCCGTCAGGGGGAGGCAGGTGGCAGGGCCCGCGGGCTTCGGGACCCAGAACTGGACTAGGGAGGGACCTGCTGGGTCTTTTCACCGCTCCCCCACAAGACTGCAAGCTCCACGAGCGAGCGCAGGAGATCTGGTGTTTTGTTCATTCCCGCACCCCCAGCACTCAAAACAGTGCCCCCCAACCCCCCAAAAAGCTGTGAGCTAATGACTCCTCCCCTCCCCACCCCGCAGTCAGCCAAGCTGTGGTGAAAATGGATAGATGGGGGACTGGGACTCCCAAATCGGAGCAGGAAGAGGTCCACCTTGTCTGAGGGCGGGAATGGGCCGTCACTGCATGGCCTCTCCACCGCCCGCCCCCCGCCCCTCCGCCCCGGGCCAGCCAGCCCCCTACCCGGCTTACCGGTTTCTGGATCATAGAATTCCCCATCATTGAGCAGGACTCTGTCGAAGGGCACTGTGCCTGGCTCAGACCTGGGCAAACTCAGGGCAGCTGAAAAGGCCACCCGGGGCACGGAGGCTGCTGGTGCCCCCTCCACTCCTGAGTGGGGGTAGGGTGGGTGTCAGAGTAGATGCTCAGCCAGTTCCTTCCCCTCGGGAATCTCTACCCCCAGGGCTGCCTGAGGCCTTCCATCCTCCAACCCCCAGTTCAGTTCCCCTCCCTCCAGCCTCAAATGAGAACTTACCTTGTTCACCTTGGGGACCTGCGAGAGGAGGAAAGAGGGGAGAGAGAGAGAGAGAGAGAAGCTCTAAGTCACTCAGCAAACATCTGCTGAGTCTGTCCGGCTGTGCTAGGTGCTATACGGACTTCAAAGCAGGAATGGGGTTCCAAGGAGAGGAGGAGCAGGGCCACGCTGTCAACTGCTGGGCCTATGCCCTTAGCCTTTCACACCCGACACAACCTTTGTAGGCTCAGCCTTGGTCTTCAAGTCAGCAGTGAGGCCACCATATCCAATCAGCCAACAGTGCCTTGGCTGATTGTCTATCCCAGGGCCCGGCCACTTTCCTAATCACTGTCAGCCATCGGGACCCCATTCCTCATCCCTTTCCCCACTTCCCTGTCGAGTTCAAAGGGGAATGTCAGAGGGGCGGTAACCCTGGCTGCTCAAGGATCTCAGCCCACATACCTGGTGGCCCAATGGGCCCCTTTTGTCCATCCTTGCCTGGGGGTCCTGGAGGCCCGGCGGGACCTGGGGGTCCCTGTACTCCAGGAGGCCCTGGGGGCCCAGCTTCACCTGCAGGCCCTACAGTGACAAAAGTTTGTTGTAGGAGAGCCATAAAAGGAGTTTCCAAAAGACAGAGAGGGTGATGGTTCCACGGACAGGTTGATGGGACCCTGGCTGCCCATGCGGGCTGCCTGGCTGGCAGAGCAGCACCCTACCCCCACCCACAGCCGGGGGGAAGGCGGGGAGCTGGGGCCCGGGATCACCTCTAGTGGATAAATCAACCCCTGGGACAGGGATGGGCTCTGCAATTCATGCTGAGCAGAGCAAAGAAAAAGTGGATGGGCTTAAGGCTGGGCTGTTGTGAGAGAGGGAGAAAGAACTGGAAAGGGGTCCCCCCACACCCCAGGCCTCCTCTTGCCCCCTCACCAGTGAAGTCCCTCAGGCCGAGCTGGTGGAGCCGGTCCTCCAGGAGCAGCAGTGAGCTGTTCAGGGCACCGAGCCGCCTGCCCAGGCCCGCCTGCCCCCCCAGCAGCTTCTCCAGCAGGGCTGCCTGCGTCTGGCTGGTGCTGTTGGTCTCCCGTAGCCCAGCCCAGAGCCCAGCCACATGTCTGGAAAGGCCCTCACGTAGGCCCTGCAGTCCCCCGGCCACTGTGTCCAACCGCTCACAGACGCCCTCCAGACGGCCCAGTCGCCCCTCTAGGCTGGGGCACTGGCCAGCCTGCGCCTGTCCCTCCTCCAGGCCTCGGAAGCGCTCCTCACTCTCCATGACATGTTCTGTGGCCTCCTGCTGCAGCCTGTTAATCTCGGAGATGATGCGGTCCTTGGTGGCTCCCAGGTCGGCCAGATCAGCGCCCTGGCCCTCCACTGTGGCCTGGAGCTCATGCAGCGAGTCATTGAAGGAGCTGACGGTGAGGATGACTTCGGAAAGCTCTCCTTGCAGGGCCTGGAGGGCTGAGCCTGAGCTGCCCCCGAACACACTGAAGCCATCCAGAGGCCCACGGCTCGGCCCCCCAACACCCGGGCCAGCCCCCGGGCTCCGTGGAGGCAGCAGGGGGCAGGAGCAGCGCTCCACGCCATCCCGAAGGCGGCCCAGCTCCTCCTGGACGCCCCCACAGGCCCCACAGCCCTCATCCCCACGGGCCTGTAGCAGACCCTCTAGCTGGCCCAGCCGTGCAGCTGTGAGATTCAGCTGAAGTGTGAGCTCTGCAGCTGCCTCATCCTGAGCATCGACACGACCCTGGAGCTGGCCTACGACCCCTTGCAACCCTTCCAGCGTGGCCTGCCGTGTCTCCCCAGCTGCTCCCACCTTGTTTAGGCCAGAGATGACCAGCCGCAGCTGCCCCTCGCCGTCCAACACCCTGCGCTCCAAAGCACTGAGGGTCTCACTGACCTGGGAGTCCTTCTCCCCCAGGGCCCCAGAGCAGAGCTGCCCACATGCCTGCACGGCCCCTGCCACCTGCTCTTCCAGCAGGTCCAGCCGCCCACCCAGCTCCTTGCTCACATTGTTCAGCAGCCCCTCCAGCTTCTCTAACCGGCCCCGGGCAGCAGGCAGCCAGTGGGTCAGGCCCCCAGGACGCCCAGGTCGGCCCTCCTCCTGCTCCTGCGAGGGACCCAGGGTAGAGTTGAATCGGTCTTCCAGGCGGGAGAGGCGGGATGCCAAGCTGGTGTAGCCTGGGGGATGGCCCCCCTGCCCCGCTGCACCTTCCAGCTCCGTGCCTCTCCGCCCACTCAGCACGGTCACTGAACCGGCCACGACCTCTAGCCTCCGCTCCAGCTCTGCCAGTCGCCGGCCCAGCTCTGGAGGGCAGCATTCCTGAGGGGGCCTGCGGCCCACGGCCTGCCCGGCGAGCTGCCGCTGCCGCTCCTCCAGTAGCTTCTCCAGTCTTCGCAGCCGCTCCCTGTCCTCCTGCTGCTGCCTGCGGAAGCCATCTAGCCCCGCCAGGCACACGGAGCAGGACTCCTGCAGCCGCTGCTCCACCTCCCGCAGCAGCTCCTCGCTGTGGCCGGGAGAGGCTGGGGCCGGATTCAGGGCTGTGCCACCACCACCGTGATGGTTGTTGAGATGGCCCAGCTCCTGGTCATGGGTGGAGACACGCTTGTCCAGTTGCTGCAGCTGCTGCTGGATCTCGTTGAGGGTTTCGTGCACGCCAGGGCGGGCAGCTGCGTCTGCTGGCTGCTGCCTCCCGTTAAAGGCCGTCTCCACAGCCTTCTGGACATCTTCCACCAGGCGCCCACTCAGTCCCTGCAGGACACCCCGAAGGCCCTGCAGCTCCTTTGTCAGGCTCTGTACCTGCTCCTCCAGCTGCTGCACCTTCTCTGACTCCCCAGGACCTGGCAGAGAGGAGAAGACATAAGGCAGCGGGGCTGGACTCAGTGCCAGCCTCCTAGGTCCAACTCCAGCAAGAGGTCAGAGGTCCTAACT